TTTTGTGTTCATCTTCAAGAGTCCACACATGCACTGTAGAGAAGGCTCTCTTTCTACACTAGTGTCCCTCTCCTAGTATACTGGCATTGCATGTTAATCAGAGAAAAGTTCATGGTGGGGCAATGGGGGCTCTTCATTCTCCAACAACGGCCCTGTCTACGTACCTTTGCCTCAGACATGGGACTTTCTTAATGCTCCCACAACTCCCACAACAAGAAAAACTGCCTAAAATCAGTGCAGGATCCTGGCTGAAAGCTGGTTTTCTTCCCCTCCTCCAGTGGCAATAGGTTTTCACCAGGTGTCAGTATTGGAGCCCATGGCAGGCAACCTTCCTGCCCCTCCCTGAGTGTCAGCCAATCAATGTCTTGTATCACTGGAGGGTCTTGATACCACCAGGTTAACTGCCCCCTTCCTGCAGCAAATGGCTTTTGCCTGGTGTTCATGCAGAGTCCAGGGTTGGTGGGTTTTCTGTCCTCCCTCAGTGGCAGATCCTTTCTGTTTAGCCAGCATGTAGCCCAGAACAAGTAAGTTTCCCGGACTTCCCCTGTGACAACAGACCTCTAATACGTAACAGTGCAGACCCAGGAGTGCAGGCAGGTTTCTTACTTCACCCCTGGTGCCAATCAGCTATTGCCCAATATCAGAGTAGGGTCCAAGTTACAGCGGATTCTGTGCCCCTCACTCAGCAGCAGGTAGATCTTGCTTAATAAAGACCCAGACATGTAGTTTTCCTGCCCGTCCCCTAGCACTGGCCAGCAACCACCTTTTACTCATGCAGCATCCACAGTGTAAATGGGCTTCTCCAGCTTCTATTACTCCTCTTTAAAACTTAAGAAGACTTTGTTCCCACTTGTTTTAGATTTGCACTACTGCTATAACAAATTATCATAAATTTAGTGGCTTAAACACTACAAAATTATCTTATAGTTTTATAGACCAGAAGTCTGATATATGTCTTACTAAGCTAACATCAAGGTGTCAGCAAGGCCACATTGCTTTCTGGAGGCTCTAGGGGGAAAATCCATTTCCTTGACATTCCTAACTTCTAGAAGCTACCTGCAGACCTTGGCCTGGGGCCTCCTTCGTCTTCAAAGTCAGAAATATTGCATCACTCTAACCCTAGTTAAGAAATAATCTGTTTTTAAGGACTCATATGATTAGACTGAACCCACCTAAATAATACAGGATAATCTCCCATCTCAACGTGCATACCCACAATTATATTTGCAAAGTCCCCATGCCATATAATGTAACATAATACCAGGTTCCAAAGATTATGACACAGATATCTTTGGGAAAGCCATTATTCTGCCTCCTATACCATATACCATAAAGGAGCTTCATTAGGTTTCCTGCTCTGTCCTCAATCTTTCCAGTAAGCATTCAGTAGAAGCCCAAAGGGAAAAGCTGGCAATTACAGATCACTCCTGTGTCTGGGGCTCCCAGGTATTCTAAACTGTCACACTAAACTACACTCAACCTTTGTAAGCATTGGTTATAATTTCAGCCATTTTCTTCTTACCTACCAAAATGCCAGAGAACTTTTCTGGAGCTATGCCACAGATGAAACAATTCATGTGTCCTATTTGGAAAGGCTTGTCATCTTTTGAAATTCAGTTTACCTGCCCACCTTGTAACTTCAGTTCTAACAAGCTCAAAATAAATTATGATTTTTTAGCCTACCTAGTTTACTCTCCTTGTTAGAGCAGAAGCAACATTCTCTTTTGGTTTTCTACCACCTAAAAGGAAGAAGGATTCTCAAGCTGGTTTTCAAAGTGCATGCATAAATGCATACTATACCATATTCTTCCACATGCACGGTTTACAAATGTCTCAATCAAAAAAAAAAAAAATAGACTCAGGTATAGGTGATTTTTCATGCAACCTCTCTGGCCTTGTAGCCAAGAATAAAATAGACCTTAATAATCTGACGATTATTGTGTTTCATTGTCTAAAAGAGAGTTGGGAGGGGAGAAAAAGAAAAGCCTTGCTTGAAATGTGGAAATAAGAGTATACGTTTAGTTCTGAGAATGTTCTGGTGAGAATTACAATGATGCCAAACTATATGTACATATTAAAGCCATAGGAAAAAAAAAGAAAGAAAAATGAAAGAGTTTTTATGTGGACTTCTACTTGATTTTTTTTTCTTATATATATTAAAAAAAAAAAACAACCAGTTTTTGTCAAGATTTTCAAGGGGTCAAGGTTTCCCTTCATATCAAGAATGTAATCTTCCACAGCATTATCAATGAGGTCTGACTCAGCTTGCTCTTCCGAAGAATCAGAATCAGAGTAATCAGAAAGGCAGAAGGTTGCTACTATCTGCAAAAGTATCATACCCAGCAGGCTGTTTACCATAAAGTGAATCAAATATGCTATAAAAGTTAAAAAACAGTACATGATAAAAATGAAATAAGAAAGATTACAGACTCCAAAGAACACTGATTTCCCAATGGAATGTTAATAAACAAAGGAATCCATTAGAATCATAATATTCACATCATTAATTCTACACTTTATCCAGAGGAAAAATGGCTGAGAAAAATTAGCTATCTTGAACCATCCCACCTCCAAAAATTATTAGGCAGATAGCAAACAAGAGGGCTGAGTATCAATCAGTGTCCAAAAAGAGATCATACTTTTTTCTAGTTTAGTATTAGCACAAGTTAATGGTGTGGTATGAATGTAAGTATAAAAATATTAAGCAGTATTAAACACAGCCAATAAACTGTGGAGGTGGCTAAGCTGATGAAAAGTCAGTTAAAGGAATCTTCCAATACCTGAGCCAGTAATGCAGTTAATCTGTACAATCAAGCCATTTCCAAACATTCAAGTCATGAATTCTCCTAATATCACCATCAGCAAAATATTATTCCTCATAACTAGAACACATAAAGAAAAATCTTAACCTCTCATGTTGTAACTGATCATCTGCTTCAGTGTGACATATCTGATGCGTGATTGTACAGTCTTGATCCAGAAATTGCCCAGTGTTACTATGGAACCTAATCATTGGTATAATCAATACAATCTGTTATCCTTTCAGAACTATTCTAAATCTGTGTAAAAGTTTCCTATAACTCTCAAGCAGTTTCTGGGTGATGACTGAAAGTTTGAACTCAATTTGTTAGCATGCAAATGTGGGGCAAACTCTTTCACTGATTTGCAAGTTTTCTCTTGCCTTTGGGATTCAATCCTATGAATCTGGTTCTCGCATTCTGAATGCATCTTATATAATAGAGAACTTACCTTGGCAAATTCTCAAAAAAGGAATTGAGAATTTGACAATATGGTACTTTGCAGATCCACTGAAGCCAACCTTAAAACTTTGCCAAAGGATCAAACAAGAAATTATAAAGTATTAGAACTGGAATATAACATCAAAAATAGGGAAATTTTAAAAGATTAGGAAGAGAAGGCCAAGTAAGAGTCAATGAAATAACACCCAGAGAAATGGCTTAAGATATGTTACTGTTGACAGCCTGTTTATATGTGCCTATTGAGAAGTGTGGATTGGGCATTCAAATCTAAACATCAAGGGGCAGATAAAAACGACAACTATCTAAAATATTGGTCCTATGCCATTCTCAGGTGGAAAGAAAATCTTTCCTCAGCTCTAGAGCATTAAGGAGTAGGATCTGGAGCAATGTGACCGTTCTTTGCCTAGTCCCTTCCCATTATAACAGAACCTCAACCTGGCCACGTTATCAGTGGGTGGCTGCTATTTTTCCCAAGGTCTCAGGGTAGAAGACAAGGTTTTCATGGAGTTACCCAGAGCTGGAGCAAGTAGGACGTCAAGGGTGGCACAAAAGAGGAATAGAAGAGAGAATGAGTTCACATCACTTTACACGTTTGTAAAAGTGTAAATTTTACATGAAAAATAAAATGAAATAAATTTTACATGAAAAATGAAAAATCCAAGAATGTAATGATTTCTGTGACCCTGAATGGCTCTATGTATTAGTCTTTCAATTTTGAAAGGGAGCAAATTATATTTGTGAACTGAAAATACACATCTCCCAGTTCTCAGAATTGATCATTAATTTTACACTGCTCTTCAGCCTCTACACCAGTATTTCTGAAACTGTCATAAGTAATTCCTCTAAGTGCCATCTCGCTGGAGTGGTATTGGTACAGCAAAGTAGCAAAGGAAGAAATACTGTCTGGGAACACAAAATTATTTTTTACAAATTTCTCAATGGCATGTTAGTTCTACCCGTCATATCATCAGTAGACTATGTAGAAACAGAGGTACTCTAGAGTACAGTACTTACTCTCTGTAGCTACTAGACATGCAGCATAGAGTGTGATGTGTAATATCTGAATAATGCTTTTCAGAACTAGACTGTAATCTTAAGGTCATGATGAGAAATCACACATTTGAATAATCCACAAATGAAGACGTTGTGTGAGATTCAAAAATACAGTGCTTTCTAGTTAAAATGGGAGATTAGTGAAGATAATGTAATGTCCATCATTTAAATAACAGAAAAGTATTGTGGCTATCGGAGATTCACGGTGTTGTTACTCAAAAGGTATTAAGAGTTTGGAAGTACAGAGTAGTGTTCCAGGCCGTGGAGCCTAGCCACAGGTTTCACAGGTGCACCTCCACGCAGAAATGACTGAAGCTTCCATAGCTAATCTCAACTTTTTAAGAGTTTATATGGATGATAATATGATTTTGTATATATATCCTTGTGCATATACGCATGTGTACCTTTTTTTCTTTTTGCTTGAATGTGCTATTTGTCACTTGCAATTTAAATATTCCTTACATAGAAAAATCCAAAGAAAAAGTTTGTGATCCTTTATGTTTATGGTATATTATGACTGCAGAGACCTTGTGCTTTTACTGGTTTAGAATCATCTTGACCTAATATTAGGGTTAATGTTATGAATCAAAGGAGTAAGATTCCTGGCTAACATCCCATGTAACACAGCAGACAAACTAGTTTTAATTTAGCTTTGGCCCTTACAAACTTTGTACCCTAGAGCAAGTTACATCTCGCTTAGCTTTTTTCATTTTGAAGTGGTCATATCTGCATGGCTGTTTACATGTTATATAACACATCCTATTCCAGATCTACCACGAGCTGAGCTCTAAATGGTAAATGCCACTGTGAGAAGCAGACAGGAAGAGGCGGAGCGCCAGCGGCGCCTGGAGCCGGCGCCCCGCACTGGACGGAGCGACAAGCTTAGCTGTGAGCCCAAGGGCCGCTTTGCCCACCGTCCCGCCGGTCCCGGCCGTAGCTAGGGGGTCCGCAGGCCCTGCGGCAACCCTCGGTACAGACGCTGGGCGGGAGGCGACACCTGGCCCATGGCCCCCGAGGCGGCTCCGTCTTCCTTGGCCGTCAGGGCCTCAAGCCCCGCCGCGGCCCCCACCTCGTACGGCGTCTTCTGCAAGGGGCTCTCCCGCACCCTCCTCGCCTTCTTCGAGCTGGCCTGGCAGCTGCGCATGAATTTTCCGTACTTCTACGTCGCGGGCTCGGTGATTCTCAACATTCGCTTGCAGGTACACATTTAGACCCGTGACTAAGCTAACGGGCTCCGGGGCCAGCAAGATGGCCGACTCCTAGGGTCCTTTGCGGCGCGGCGGAGCAGCGGATAGCGAGCCCCACAGTCTCGCGAGGGTGCTCAGGCGCTCTTCGCGGCTGCGCTCTTCGCTGCTAGCGGAGCTCGTCCCGGGGGCGCTGGGAGCCTTTAGTTCCTGGAAAGAGAAAATACGCGATCCCGGAAACAGAGAACTGCAGTTAAGACCCTCGAAAAGATCTAAGAGAGCGTGCATCCTTAAACACCCTGACGAATTTCAGGACGTGACAAAGCACAGAGGGTGCATTATTTCCAAATAAAAGGGTGAAATTTTCAGGAAAAAGAAAATCAGTAAACCGGGAATATTGGATTGGATTGTAAGCAAGATCTGAAATAGGAAGCTGAAGGTGTTAAGGCTGTGATGTAGTAGGCACATATTTCTTCATCCCACAAGAGAAAACAATAATAATCAGAAACTTATAGTGAAAAAAAGCAAAACTGTGCAAGAAAAACATCCTCCAAGTACCAGACATAAAATGCTGCAAGCTTTTGAACTAATGGGGAGGGTGTAAGAAAATGGGCTCTATTTCAATGCTCTTGTGACAGGACGACGGACATCGAGACTTGGAGCCTCAGAGAAGGAGATCCCTTAGTAGCACAAAGCTTGGCTATTCAGTGAATAACATTTAAATAATAGTAAAATGCAAATGCTGTTTATGGTTTTTATTGTTTAAGGGTGTATCTAATTATGGTTACAAAGTGGAATGCAAATGTTATCCATCATGTTTTAAAAATACAGACGGAAATACAAGTGGGAACGTGAAGAAGGGGGGAGACATAATGGAATGGTAGTAATGTCCTTATAAAGTGGGAAATTGAAGGATACGGTCTGTTGTTGAGTGGGGAAAGACATTTTTATTACTTACAAGGTAGCCATAAAATTTCTAAAATAGTAATATACCTATATTAAAGAGGAAGAGTGGTAGGAGAGAACAGTATGAAGTCAACAGGAAATGCCTAAAGATGGAGACCTCAGGTAAAATATTTTAAAAAATAAAAATGTATAATAGAGTACCTGGTGTATTTGAATACAGCCTAGAGAGCTTTCATTTTCCAGAGGGTGGGGGGATAAATTAGTAATTGCGTATTTTTCAAAATTAAGAAAACAAAACATGTAATTTTGAACCCTGGAAAAAATAAAAATCCAAAAACTACACTGCATACCTCAACTGTGAACAATACTAGTCATGTAAAGTCAATCATAATTATGTAAATACTGAATACTGATTTTACAATTAATGATTCTATAACACTGGGAGGATGAGAGAAAAGAGATGTGTGTGTAATGGTGGTGAGCCAATCAAGATCTGATATAGAAAACTGCAGAAAAAGAAGTATACACACTTTTTTTTTCAGATAAGAAAACTGTAATAAGAAACCACTAAGAGTGGTAAAGTTTTAAATCAAGGTCTGTGCTGAAAAAGTAGTATACACATGTTTTTTCAGGGGAAAAAAAGAAAACTAAATAAGAAACCACCAAGAGAGGTAAAGTTTTAAACTAGTCGCAGTGCTCTGTATTCTACTCACTGTGTCCAGCAAACAGTGATCTATCACTTTAAATAATAAGCATCTTGCCCCCTCCAACACCATGTCTGGCCTTGGGTAATTGTTCCTTCTAGGCTTTATTCCTTGTCTCCAGCCAAACTCCATTTGGGCACATTCTCCTATATGCCTTTTCTACCCTTTTCTGCCTGAAGATACTCTATTTTAAAGCTAAGCTTAGATGACACTTTTTCCATTAAATTTTTCCTGGTTTGCACTGACCATATAGGAGCTCACTTCTTTTAATCCGTAAGGCTATTTTCATAGGTTGCCTTATTTTTCCCTAATTGTGCATCACTTATCTGTTTTATTTACCCAAGACAGGTTTCCTAGACTCTGATAAGCCAAAATATTTTAGTCTAAAATATCAGAAGTGTAGTTTAATCAATGAAATAGGAATACCAAGGGATTTAGAATAGTGGACATCACTGTTCCCCAGAGGCACTAATGTCCCAATTTGTAACACAAAAGACTATCCACTCTTAATCCTGAAATGGTGATAGAGTAGGATGCTCCATTTGGGTGGCTACATGAACATATTCCTACAACTTTTTTTCTCACATCAGTCTTTTGTTAAACTGAAGAAACCGACTTTATATTTATTATATCCTCCAGCAGAATTGGGAGCTCTGTGAGGGAAGACAATATATCCTATTCCATTTCATACTCTGTAGTAACAGTAACAGTGTGTGTGTGTGTGTGTGTGTGTGTACATATACATATATACACATATATTACACATACACATATAAATGTAAGTAGTAACTATAAGTATACAGTTAGTACTTACTATATATGTATACAGTTACTACTTACATTTACTTCCTAATATATATCTTTATATATTATCTATTGGGAAGTAAATATGGTTTATCATTTGGTTTATCATTTATTCATAATTGCTCTTAGTTCTTGAGGTATATTTTGCCTCCTACATGATGCAATTCAATGAAATTTCCAGGGGACAAAACAAGATTTTGACATGAATAAACCACTTATTGTTATAATTCACAAGTGAGTTTATTCTTCCTGGCACACTTCCAGGTAATATCCATTAGGCCAACGATTTTGTTTGTTCACTGCTCTATCCCCAAGCCTAGAGCATTGCCCAGTGCAAAATAGCTAATAAATATTTTTGAATAGATAGATGAATGGCCATTTGTTTGGTATGCTCTACACAGTCAGCAGTCAATAAAGGAAACAGATATATTTGTTCCTGATAATAAGATCATTCCCTTTATTACCCATAAATTGGGCTTTTTCAGACTATCATACACATTGATAGATCCAGAGATCCCTCAAGCATGAAGAAGCAGAGAGGTAGGTAGTATAATTATTATCAATAAAGATAAAACTTAAGAAATTTAGCTGGCAAAAAAAAAATACTGGGAAAAGATGTGTCACAGCTTATTTTAACTACAAAAGGAAAATAGTGAACATAGCAACATGTAACCTAAGGGATAGGGGAAAAGATTTTTTTTTTTTAAGCTCTGGGTAAAAATAAATGTGATGATTTGACAAACAGCATATCATTACTGTCAGCATCATTTAAAAAATATATTGAGTTTTTAATTCCAGGAACTATGAAAAATTATTTATACACATGAGCTCCATAATTCTCATATATACCCTGTGAGGAAAACATTTTTATCATTTTTCAGAGAAGCAGACTGGAATTTAGAGAGAAGATAAGTAACTTCCTAAGGTCATGGTAATCAGCCAGACCTCAAATGAATCTCCAGTAATCCCTAAATACATATTTCATAAGGAGTTCAATTTCCTTAAATATGTAGATAATTACATATAATCCTGTTTCTCAAATTTCTGGACAGAAATATTATCTGAGAAATAGTGACTTTTTAAAACGTAACTATTGAGGGCCTTTCATACTAAAATATAAATATTTAACATGATTTGATATGTAAGTTCAAGTATTTTATACTCTGCAGCCTTTAATCTACTGGGTTATGTTATTTTATTTTATTTTATTTTATTTTATTTATTTTTGAGACAGAGTTTTGCTCTGTCTCCCAGACTGGAGTGCAATGGCATAATCTCGGCTCACTGCAACTTCCACCTCCCAGGTTCAAGTGATTCTCCTGCCTCAGCCGCGCGAGTAGCTGGCGTTACAGGCACCTGCCACTGCACCCAGATAATTTTTGTAGTTTTTAGTAGGGAAAGCGCTTCACTTTTTTGGCAAGGCTGGTCTTGAACTCCTGACCTCAGGTGATCCACCTACCTTGGCCTCCCAAAGTGCTGGGATTACAGGTGTGAGCCACCATGCCTGGCTTACTGGCTTATTTTATTAGAGGGTAGTGGGACTGAGGGATACAGGAGCAAAGGAAGATAGAGGAAAGGACATTGTCCCCAGAATGGAAAGGAAGCACTTTCTTTTCCTACCCAGAGTAGATTTCAGACAATCTTGAATTTTGAAGCCATGTCTGTTCTTGTCCTGACAATCCCTAACTAAATTTTCTGTTAGAAAATCTTGCAGTTTGCTTTTAATTGGAGATCTTTCTGGCAGGGCATCAATAGCTTTTGATAGAGTCAAGAAGAAAATAAAGCCTACATGCGGAAGTATAAAGGGGTAGGATGAAAGTTGAGGAATATAGGGACAAAAAATGAGGGAAAGGAATATCCTAATACTTAGAAGTTTGAGCATGGAAAGTAGTCTAAAGACTAGACTTAGGAAGTTACGAGAAAATAGACCAAGGAAAGAACCTCTGCAAGAACTATGAGAATTCCCAACAATTGGGTTGGATTGATTCATATTAGCCAATTACTTGGGTTACCTTCAGTGTGGGATTCTTCTTGCAGTTTTAACACCTGTGCTATGGTCTGAATCTGTCCCAGATAACTTCATATATTGGCATTCTAAATCCAAAGTGATGAATATAGGAGACGGGGCCTTTGGGAGGTGATCAGGTCATAAGTATGGAACCCTCCTGAATGGGATTAGTGCCCTTATAAGGGAGATGCCAAAATAATTCCCTTACCTGTTTTGCCATGTGAGGTTATAGGGAAAAGCCATCTATGAACAAGGAAATGAGCCCTCACCAGAAAGCAAATTTGTGAATGCCTGGATCTTGGACTTTCCAGCCTCTAGAACTGTAAGAAATAAATGTTTGCTGTTTATAAGAAAACATACCATTTTATGGTATTTTTTTTTTTTAATATAGCAGCCTGAACAAACTAAAACAATAGAATTTGCTCAGCAGGATTACCACCAGGTCGGGTGATGAATCTTTTCAGATTTCTGCTACAAATAACCTTCCCAAAAAAAAATTGCCTAACTTTTTTCTGAATTGATCAAACCAACCATCTGATCAGTTTTCTAAATGAAGATTTATTCTTGGCAATAATCTAGCTCAGGGCCTAGGTCATTGCACATAGCATTAAGCAATGTTACAGATGAGTAGACTGGAAGTATGGGTTTTGCAGATGGCCTTCTTGTTTCTGTATTTTAATTAAGGAAATCCTTGGCTCAAAGGACATGAGATTAAGAGCAGCAGCAAACCATGTGAACCATTAGAGATTCAACAGAGACTATCACACCCTCTGAAATATGTACTGATCCATGCATATTTCACTGGGATGTTTTCTGTCAGTAAAGCTTAAGACAACGTTGCTTGCACATCCTAAAATATCTTCTCATCTTAAGTTCTAGACCTAAGGGAGGGCTCAGGCATAAGCTGTTTTTGGCATTAGAAACAGGTTATTCAGGTTATTGGCAACTTTTCTATAAATCAAGGTAGACCAAACTGGAGGAAAAAAAAAAAAAAACTCTCCTGACTTCAAGACTATAAAAAGTATTGGGTGGGGAAACAATTGGAGAAAAAAAAAAATGACAGCCATTTTCTTTTCCCAATTATTTGTTCCCAGGATACAGTTCTCTCCAGATTGCCTGAAACTAGCTTCAGATCAAAGATTCATGGTTTTCTTGGATCATGGCTTGCATCTCCCACGCAGGCTTTTATTATGGAAAGGATGGTGCAGAGCTTAATCTCAAAATGCCATTGTAATATGGAGAATGCAACACAGTAATAGTCACAGTCCCAGACTGTCTCCCAGCCTTCATCATTTAATAGTCATTTTCCGGGCTGGGCATGGTGGCTCACACCTCGAATCCCAGCACTTTGGGAGGCTGAGGCAGGCGGATCACCTGAGTTCGGGAGTTTGAGACCAGCGTGACCAACAGGGTGAAACCCCGTCTCTACTAAAAACACAAAATTAGCCAAGCATGGTGGCACATGCCTGTAATTCCAGCTACTCAAGAAGATTAGGCAGGAAAATCGCTTGAACCCTGAAGGCAGAAATTGCAGTGAGACAAGATTGTGCCATTGCAGTCCAGCCTGAGCAACAAGTGTGAAACTCTGTCTCAAAGAAAAAAAGAAAGAAAGAAAGAAAAAAGTTTAGTATTCATATTCTTAGCATCTTCTAATTAATACAAAGTAATCTTTTGTTTACTGAAAGGAGTAATTCTAAGCCAAATTATCTTCACCATCTGAACCTAATTATAGCCAGTGTGATTTTAATGTTGTCCTTTCTACAGCAAGATAATGTCCATGATAATCATTACAAAATGTATTATACAATATGTAACAATGAATGAAGTTTTAAAAACCTAAATGTCTGTATAGGCCTGGACATACATATATCATCATCATCACCATCACAATACATCAGAGCACCACACAGTACAGTTTCCTGGAGTAAGAGCACATTTTACTTATGGTTCTTACATTTTTCCTAGCATCTGCTACTCCATCATTGTAAACATACTTACAATCGATATATTTTCAACATTTAATTTCTACAGTTACTTTTTTGGTTGCTTCTATCATTGAAAGTATGGCAATTGTAAAACCTAATAAAGATATATTATTGATAGTTTTTAAATATCTTTTCAATTATAGTCTCTATAGCTTACCATTTATAGACTATTGTATTCAAAATTGAAATATTAGCAAGCATAATTTTACCACTTGCTGGTCTTAAGATTATGTATTACATACATTTTTAGTTACTTTAAGTTTTTATTTTAAAAGTCAACCTAGAACTATACACAAATACAAACATGTCTAAAATTTATGCAAATATGTGACATTCTCTTATAAATTTCCTTTATGTTCTTATCCTTAGGGAATTAATTGGTTGTATTAGTTTTCTCTGATGTGGCATAGGGTATTCATGATATGACAAAAGTATATCATTACACATGGGCACACACACAGAGACCCTGTGTCAAGGTGTGATTTGGATCCTATAAAGTAAAAATATAAGCATCATTATGGACGCAGGGATAATTGTTCAGCTTCTTCTTATAAATCCAATTGATTTTGCACTTATCCTACAAAGGTACGATAGCTTGAATTCCTACCTGGAGTCCTAATGAGAGAATGCCCTTTTGCTTTAAAAGCCATATATATGTATATATATATAGTTATAAGATTATATGCTTTAAATATTTTTAGCTCTTAATGTCTTTCATTTAGTGTTATAAAAATATTCCACCTACTTCAGCTTGGAGTAGACATTAGGTTCTAATGGTATTTAGAACTATTTCCAAATACTACTGTTTTTTTTTTTTCTCACATATGAATGGAATCATACATTTGCCCGCACATATAAAATTAATACATGTTGCATTATATATTCATTTATATCAAGTCACAAATATTGCCTTGTTACTAGCAAATATTAAAATGACAATGACACTTTTTTTAAAATCCAATATTACATTGACTGACTTTATGAATAAATTATTCCTTTATAGGCAATTCTAGGGAAATTTTGTGATGCCCAATGATACCTTAAAAGAATCTGGGTGACACACAGATGCTAAAATACATCTTCAATGTTTTCTCATTAATTCCCCTGGAATTTAGAAAAATCTGGAAAAGTCTACAACACTGAAGGTTTCACTCTTTTTAGGTGGCACTTAAGATGCCACGATAGTCTCACAGCAGTCTGTCTCAGCTTGCCATTTTCCAAAATTAGGACAAATGAGTGATTTGAAGGAAAAATAGTTGATGCTAACAAGATGAAGAAATTGACCTGCTATTTCTGCTGTACAAGGAAAATCCAACCTGTTAGTAGGAGAGAAGAAAAGCGAACCAAAAGGAAGAGGAGGAAAGACACCAACATTTTCATTTTCATGGCCCTCTTATGGGCCTTCATTCTGAGGTCCCTCATGCCCAAGGTGTTGAGCTGCAGATTCCTGATATGTCTCATCAAGGGCAGAATTAAAAGAAGCAGTGAGGTCAGGGATGGAAGAAAGGGAATTAAGTAGATCAAACTGACAGGAATCCAGAAGTTACAATATTGAGTTTTATTTATATCTAAAGACCAAGTTGAGTTTCTTTCATATGTCATGTAGATGT